TTAGACAGAGGAGCACTGATGTATTGTTCCACTTATTTATGCATTCATTAGATGCTTCTTGTATGTGCCCTGACTGGAGATCAAACCCGCAGCCTTGGTGTATTGGGAGAACACTCTAATCAAATAAGCTACCTGGCCAGGGCCCTAGACCACCATCTTTCATCCCTACTCAGGGATAGACCTACATGTTCCAAAGGGATTGTATGGGTGGTCAGGGAGAACAAAGAAGCCAAATACCAGCAGACCCTGGCGCCAGGGTGAGCCAAGAAATAGATAACTTCTAGAGCTCCTTGCCACAGAGTAAGAAGTAATGGAAGCTCTGTGAGTAGCCTGAAACCTCTGGACACATTCCAGAGTACACCCAAGAGAAGGGGAGGAGGGGGGTCAAAGATCCAGACTCATTCACTCAGAAGTTAAACAGGTAGATTAGCTTCAAGATGGCGTCAACTCTGTCCACACACTAGGAATTTCCCCAAACTGATACAAAAAATATTCAAGGAACTCTGAGAACCCTAAGCTGAATGAATTAAAAGAAAATCATATACATCACAGTAAAATGACAATGAGAAAAACATTTTAATGTGGCTAGGAAAAAAAAAAAGACAATCACCTCCAAAAGAAGAGTAGTAAGAGTTACAGCTAACTTCTCTAAGGAAACAATGGAAACCAGAAGACAACATAATCACATCTTTAAAGTGCTGAAAAAGGAAAGACACATACCTTTCCTTCTATCTCTTTCCCTTAAGGAATGTAAATGCAGTACTGGGCCATCTTCAGCCATGCAGATGAAGACACAGCAGAGCAACAGACAGGACAGCCTCTGTCCTTGACAGAGCTGGTGTCCTGTGAGGCACCGCCAGGTTTGGACTCCTACTGGTGTGGTATGTTTTGAGAAGAGAAATAAACCTTACGTTTTGTGTTGTTGTTGTTGTTGTTGTTGTTTTTGAGGAAAAGAAATAAAAAGGATCAGGAGTTAACATGAAGAAACTACCAATGGCAAAAGATAGGACAATCTGAACCTCAATAAGGATAATAACCACAATGGATTTAAACATATCAAATATATTTAACAACATGGGTTCATAGATAGAAAAAAAACTTCATTAGTAATCTTTGGAGGATACTAGGGAACCAATTCATTATTCTGAAAATTAGTAAACTTATCCTTCCTTTCCTGTACAAACTATTCCTCTGTGCAATGAAAGAGTTGAAAGAAAAGTGATTCTTAATAGAATTCCAGCTAATAATCAAAGAATAGTAGAACTAGATCACCATTTTGTAATCTCTGATGAATACTGGATCTAGGACAGGCTGCTAAAACCATTAATGATAAAGCTGCTGGTGAACTTTATAACAGATGGATCTATCTGACAACATCTGAACTCCATGATCAATCTTAACAATTAAAACAAGGAACAACCAGACATTTTGTGCCTCCAAATGAGATGCAATAGGATGCATACTAAACACCTATGTAATATCCTTCCCCAAAACCCAAACCTCTAAGACTATATCTAACTACTTAGACAAAATAGGAAATAATACCATGAGAATACAATCAGCAAATGTCAGAATATAGGACTCTCTACAGGACAAACAACCTAATTTCTTCAACAAATAAATGTCAAGGTAAAAAGAAAGAGAGAGAGAGAGAGAGAAAGAGAGAAAGAGAGAGAGAAAGAGATCAAAAAGAGGGAAATAAATGATATACTAAAAAAATTTAAGAGATGTATCAACCAAATATAATGTGTGGACTTTGGATCCTGATTTGAACTGTAAAATGTATACATATATACACATACACACACATACAGTACACATATATATAAAATAATTGGGGATATTTGAATGTGAACTGATATTTTATAATATTAAGGACCAACAATATTTAGATGTGATGTTATTTTACTTTGTTAAAGGGCCTTTATATTTTAGAGATATATACTGTTGTATTTACAGATGAAATGATATAATGACTGGAATTTGCTCCAGAATAATCTGATGGGGGCAAGGAGAGTAGGTGGGTGTATAAATGAAACAATATAGGTATGTATTGATAACCTTTGAAGCTAAGTAATAGATCCATAGGAATTCCTTAGTCCCTACATATTTGCATACATTTGAAAGTTTAGACAATCAAAATTTTAAAGGGGGGTGGAGGAGGCCTTGTATTCCAAGCTCTAGAGTTGGTCCTGATCCCATTTAACCAAGTCAATTTAAAGGAGTTTATACTTGACAGGGTTTGAAATAAACTCTATATAGAGTTTGTGGAAAGAAAGTAAGGTGTACTCCTGGGAGACTGGTCTGGTATGCAAAATGAATTGCAGAGGAAAGAGAGATCACAGTCAAGAAGTGCTGATAAGGGGCTGCTAAGTAATCCTGGAATCCAGATTACAGTGCAAAAGGAGAGAGTAATGGCTAAATAGGATAAAAGAAGAACTTTGGTAATACTGTGAGAGACAAATTAAAATGACAAGCCGATTTAAGGAGAAGGGAAAAGACATTTGGAACTCTGAACATTTTGAGTCTGAGGTAACAGAACAGTCAAGTATTTCTTAGTCTCTCTGTGGTGAGAAAATCTTCTGAAGCCCTTAAGAAGATGGTAGAGAACACCGTGGTGAAGAGTACTGTAAGTGCTAGGAGTCAGAAGGGTAGATTCTATTAGTGACCCTGACACCAGCCATACCTATAATTTCGAGCAAATCATGCTGAATCTCCCAAGTGTCATCATAAAATAGGGGGACTAAACACTAGAAAATACTGGGTTGGCCAAAAAGTGCATTTGATTTATTCCATAAGATGGCTCTAGTAGTGCTTAGTTGTCTTTAACTTCATTCGAAACAATTTTGTTGGATTGTATTGTGACAGCTGTCATATCAGCATGAATTTTATAAAAAACTTATCAGCCCTGGCTGGCGTAACTCAGTGGATTGAGTGGGGGCTGCGAACCAAAGTGTCGCAGGTTTGATTCCCAGGTAGGGTACATGCCTGGGTTGCAGGCCATGACCCCCAGCAACTGCACATTGATGTTTCTCTCTCTCTTTCTCCCTCCCTTCCCTCTCTAAAATAAATAAATAAAATATTTTTAAAAAACCATCAACATTGGTGAGTTTTTATGCAGCCATTTTAATATTAAAGATGGAAGAAAATATACAACATTTTTCATCATATTATGCTTTATTATTTCAAGAAAGGTAAAAATGCAACTGAAACACAAAAAAACATTTGTAGAGAAGGTGCTGTGACTGATTGAACATGTCAAAAGTGGTTTGCGAAGTTTTGTGCTGGAGATTTTTTGCTGGATGGTGTTCCACAGTTGGGTAGACCAGTTAAAGTCGATAGTGATCAAACTGAGACATTAATTAAGAACAATCAAAGTTATACAATGCAGGAAATAGCCAACATACTCAAAATATCCAAATCAGTAAAGTTATTGGTGAAATGAAAAATGTGTCTTTTATTTTATAGAAAAAAACTAAAGAACTTTTTGGTCAGCCCAGTATCTGTAGTCCCTTTCAAACCTAACTTTCTATAGTGGGAATTCTCAGTGATAATATCTACAAGCTATTTTAAAAATTCATTCAACAAATACTTTAGTACATTCTTATAAAATACTACTGTGCAAGACACTATTTACAAATCATAACAGCAGATTAACACTATGGCACAGGAAAAGACAAGAAATACATATTTTGAACCTCACCAATACAGAAATGACAATTTGAGGTCATGAGAATGAATGAGCTCATTGAGAGAGCATATTGAAGAGCAGAAGAATAAGAACTGAGCCTTGAATAAATCTGACAGCTGGGGGTGTAGAGCATAAAGAGGAACCAGTGAAGGAAAGAGAATAATAAGTTAGAAAAACAGGAAAGAAACAAGTTAGGTAAGTCTTGACATCAGGGCCAATAAAACCAAAGTGATTTCAAGAAACAGAAGCCCAGGCCAATACAAGAGCTAAGAAAGAGCTTTAGATTTGCTAATAAGGAGGTCTCAGACAATCTTAAAGGAATTAATTTTGGATAATGGTAGGACCAAAAACAAAGCAACAAGGAATATGGAAGGAAATGTATATACATAATCCCATATTTCTTTGGGAACATATACAAGGTCTATCTGGAAAAACTGCAGCCATTGTTAATGTAACAAGAATGGTTTGCACGACATTGATGTAATCTGGCAGTCAAGGAGAGTGGACTGGAATGCGTATGCGTGAACAATGACAACTTCATTGTACTAGTCAGTGCAGGTGGTAGACACCACTGAGTGAGCTTGTGCACTGTGTGGCCATCATGTTCAAAATGACTGAGCAAATAGAGCAACAAATCTGTATCAAATTTCACATTAAGCTTAAACATTCCTCCACAGAAACTATTCAGATGATTCAGAAGGCCACAGCTATGGGCAACTGGTGATTGGCAGCTTCATCACAGCAACATCTCATTCACCATGTCTCATGAAGAGTTTTTTGGCAAAACATCCAATCACTCAGGTGACTCAGCCCCTTTACAGCCCACATCTGGCACCCTGCAACTTTCTGGCTTTTCCCAAAACTAAAATCATCTTTAAAATGGAAGAGATTTCAGACCATTGATGAGATTCAGGAAAATATGACGGGGCAGCTGATGGCAACTGGGAGAACTATGTGAGGTCCCAAGGTGCCTGCTCTGAAGAGAACTGAGGCATCATTGTCCTATGTACAATGTTTCTTGTATCTTCTTCAATAAACGTCTGATTTTCATACTACATGGCTGGGTACCTTCTAGACAGAACTCGTATACATAAACCCTAAAAGACCTAGTAGCCTGCAGATACTGTGGAAGTGAATTACCCCATGGAGCTCACTCAGTCTGTGACCCTCACTGTTCAGTACCAGGATCTCTTGAGTTCACAGCTGCATTATGTTATACTGTCCTTTCCTCTCCCCCTCTTGAAAAGATACAATCTTACTGAAACATCAAGAGGATAATAAAAACAAGAATAAAAAACCAACTACTCACAATACTCCTTCACCTCTTTGTTCTCCAATCACTACTTGCACCACCATTTTATATCGGTCAAATCCCATTTCTAGAAAGAAAAAATTAGAAAGTTATCTATAAGCAAATATATGGTAAAATTACTTAATGAAGGTGTCTGAAAAAGAACATAAGCGTTAAGTCTACAAGCACGTACTGAGCATGACGATAAGCCTGAGAGTCAGAACTGAGGAAAAATTCTAATAGTAAGCTTGTAAGTGTGTAACCTTAGACAAGCAAAATCCTGAAAATTCTCACTAACAACAAATCTGGAGAGAAGAAAATGAATGAGCATCTTTATCTTCCCCTTTTTCTGACCAGTGAATAGTGGAAACAGTAACAACAAAATGTGAAATGGGCAAAGTTGAAACATAGGCAACTGTCTCTGATGAAAGTAAAATCTTCAGGATTATATAGTAAATTAGGCAAACACTCTGAACACTACAGGTACTCACTCAGGGTACTTAACAAAATCTCAGAAAAGCCCTGACCAGTGTGGCTCAGTTGATTGGGCGTCATCCTGCACAGCAAAAACTCACCAATTCAAATCTTTTTTTAAATAATTTTTTTTAAATTTTAATTATCGTTCAAGTACAATTTTCTGTCCTTTACCCCTATTCGAGCCCGCTACCCTCAAATCTTGAGAAGGGCACATCCCTAGGTTGTAAGTTCAGTCCCTGGTTGGGGCACGCACGAGAGGCAACCAATCAATAGTTTCTCACATCAATGTTATTCTCCCTTTCTTTCTTCCTTTCTCCCCTCTCTCTAAAAATAAATAAAATCTCCTGTTTTTTAAATCTCAGAAGTAGTCACAGCCCACGTTATTCTTTTAAGAATACTGCACATGGCTTAGCTGAGCTTCCTCCTTTCTCTACCCATTCCTCTTCCTCCTTTTCTTATACCCATCTTTTAGCAGTGTGGCTAGAATATTAAATATTTAGCCCTTAAATCATAGTTCTGGGAGAAAAATAAAATAGTCTTAAATACAGTGGGAGTAAAGTTTAAAAAAAATCACCCACACTACATCATAGCAAAATAAAAAGAATCTGAATAGCAATATGCAAGGTGCAATAGCAAAACCAGAATAACAAGAAAGAAAGAAACATACTGTTTAAGGGAAAAAATTCAACCTAGGAGTTAATATGAATAAAGAAGCAAAGAAATTCTTCACAACTGATTCACAATATAGAACAATGTAAGCTCTTAAACTCAATAAAATAAGAACTCAATCAGATTATAATAAAACAGAAAGATAAAAAGGGAAATTGAAACTCCAGGAAACAAACAGAATACCCACAAAATAGCAATGCAGAACTAATAAATTTAAAATGGTAACAGACAAAACAGACACAATTGAAAACTGAATTACTGTTTTAAAACCATCACAAGGGCCCTGGCTGGTGTGGTTCAGTGGATTGAGCACCAGCCTACAGACCAAAAGGTGGCCAGTTGGATTCCCAGTCAGGGCACATGCCTGGGTTGTGGGCCAGGTTCCCAGTTGGGGGCATGAGAGAGACTACCAATCTGTTTCTTTTGCACATTGATGTTTCTCTCCCTTTCTTTCTTCCTCCTTTTCCCTCTCTCTAAAAATAAATAAAATCTTTTTTAAAACTTTATGTGTACAGTAGTACCCCTTATCCACAGTTTTGCTCTCTGCAGTTTCAATTTCCCATGGTCAACCACAATAGAAAATATCAAATGGAAAATTCCATAAATAATACATAAGCTTTAAATTGTGAAACTATCTGAATAACGTGATGAAATCTCACACTGACCCACTCCCGCCCAGACCTTGAATCATGCCTTTGTCCAGGGTATCCAGACCGTATTCAACACCCGCCCATTAGTCATTTAGTAGCTATCTCCATGATCAGATCCACTGTAGCGGTAGTGCAGGCAGTCCTTTTGCACAAGTCACCCTTACTTTACTTACCAAAGCACAAAAATAGTGATGCTGGCAGTTTGGATATGCCAAAGAGAAGCCGTAAAGCATTTTCTTTAAATGAAAAGGTGAGTACAGCACAATATGACATTTTGATAGACAGAAAGATACCATCACATTCATATAACTTTTGCTATAACATACTGCTACAAATGCTATATTTTATTATTAGATATTTCTGTTAATCACACTGTACCTAATTTATAAATTAAATTTTATCATAAGTATGTACGTATAGGAAAAAACATAGTATACTATGGTTTTAGTACTTCCCATGGTTTCTGGCAACCACAGGGGACTCTAGAATATATCCCCACAGATAAGGGAATGTTTCCTCTGGAGAGTATTCAGCATAAGGGAAAGTCTCATCTGTGAGGAAATATATCTGTGGACTGCATTGTCCAGATTTATTACAATGAAAATGTATTATTACTACAGAGACATTTCTTCCCTCCAAAAAATAATTTTTTAAAGGACAGATAGAAAGACAGGACTTTTCTGATGGTAAAACGTTTTTAATAAGAGACGAAGAAACAGATCAAGAATGGGTAGGAAAAGCACAAGATTTGATCTGCACATGCAGAGTGTGGCACAAATGGAGGGCTGAGTAGGACGAGTAGTAAGGATTCAGCTGGAAAGACTGACTGAGGTCAGATTGAAAGGGTGCTGAATGACATGCTGAGAAACGAACACCTTGGCGGGAAAAACAACCAAGAATTTTGGGGGAGAAGGAGCTCCTGTACTTCCTGGATTTTCTGCATACTTGGGTTTCCTGAATAGTGTGGTTCCATACAATGTCTTATTTCAAATCTTTGCTCTTTCCCACCATCTGCAAAAACCTATATGAGAAGTTACCAAATAAGTGAGAAGACTAGACATTAAAGGAAAATGTGTCTTTAACGGAATGCACATTTATGTCCCTTTTTTAAAGATGGAGAAGGAGCCCTGGCTGGTGTGGCAGTGGATAGAGTACCTGCCTGAGAACCAAAGGATCACTGGTTCTATTCCCAGTCAGGGCACATGCCTGGGTTGTGGGGTGGGTCCCCATTGGGGTCATGTGAGAAGCAACCACACATCAATGTTTCTTTCCCTGTCTTTCTTCCTCCCTTCCCCTCTCTGTCTAAAATAAATAAATAAATCCTTAAAAAAAAAAGCTGGGGAAGGAGACAAATGGGTAAAACTGAATGTTTGAAGGGAACAAGTCATTTCTAGTTATCACCATTATTACCTTTTAATTTATCTTTAATATTTTCTGATAAACGTTTTGTGAGCTGAGGCATTTCCTCTGGAGAGTATTCAGCATTTGCCAGTTCTTCCTTGAGCACAGCATGGATGCAGTCTTTAACCACAGAGGGTCTGAACCTGAATGAAACAGTTTGAAACATCTAATTAGTTAATTACAAAACCCCACTTACCTTTGCAGATCAAGTTCCTCCAGCTCTTTGTCATTAGAACCATATAATCCTTCTTTTTCATATTATTATAAAAGTAATTAAAAAAAACAAGTTAAGAAAACAAATCTTATCTCTTCCATGAACTTCAAGTCACATATCCCAACACATATTCTGCCTGGATGTTCTAGTAGGCAACTCAAAGTTGATACATTCAACACAGAGCTTCTGATTCCGGGAGCTCCTTTCCCTGAACTGGGTCCAGCTGCAGTCACTTCCGTCTCAGTCAGTGGCAACTCCATTCTTCCAGATGCTCAAGCCAAAAACTTTGGTGTCAATCTTGTTGCCTTTCTCTCTCACAGCCCATATCCCATTCATGAGCAAATCTGATCAGTTCTACCTTCAAAATAATCTAAAAGTCAATCATTCTCATCACCCAATCCCTATGACCTTGCTCCATGCTACCATTACTGCTTGCCTGGACTACAATGGCATCCTAACAAGTCTCTGTGCCTGCCTTTGTCCCAAATCCCATTCTCAACATAGCAACTGGACTGGTCCCATTAAACTATATGTCAGATCACGACGCTCCTCTATGCAAAACACCCCACATAGTTCCTACATCACTCAGAGTAAAAGCAATATCCTAACTGTGATTTGCAAGTCCCATTTGACCCACCCTACCAGACTCTCCGACCTTGTTTCCTACTACTTTCCCCCCAGTTCTCTCCACTTGGGCCCCACAGGCCTTCACTATATTCTTTAACCACACCAGGCATGCAAACTTCAGTGCTTCTGCGCTTATTGCCAACCTCTGCCTGAACTTCAGTTTCCCCTTTTATGCATAGCTAGCTCCCTCACTTCTTTCAAGTTTTTATATAAGTCACTTTTCCTAGGAACCCTCTCTAAAATTTCAAACCACCCTCTTACCATATCACTTTATATCTCCCTTATTACTATCTGGTACACAGTGTGGTCCATTTATTTATCTTGTTTGTTGTCCTTTATCCTAGCTAGGCCATAAACTCAAAGAGGACAGAGATCCCTATTTCTTAGAACAGCACTCAGTGCACAGTAGACAATAAATATTTTTTAAGAAATAGATAATTGAATAAATGAAGACAGAGAAAAAATCTTCCTTAATTTCACCATCCTAAGAATGCCATTAACATTTCCATTGTATTTCCCATATCTTATAATAATACTAAGCTCCTTTTCTGGGATATATATTCTAAAGATAATTTGTCTATCATGTGCCAAGTCACCAGAATGTTTCAAGTTTTTTGAGTTGATAATGTGTTTTAATAATTGGTAGTACTACTGGTCTCTTACTACATTTTAACAGTATTTTCTTTGGTCTCTTGCCTGTTTTATTCTCACAGATGAATTTCAGAATCATTAACAAATTTGGAGGATTTGATATGTTCAAAATGTGGTCTACCTATTAATAAACATACCTTATCTGGCTCTTCCTTTAAGCCTTTTACATTCTCAGTAAATGTTAAAAGTTTTTTCAAACATGTCATAAATCATTCCATAGGATTACTCTCACATAATACATATTTTTTTGTGTGTGAATCACGCTCTGTACTCTTTCACAGCAAAAACACAGGCAAATGACACTCTATAAGTTTAGAATCTTTTACAGATAACTGAACATATCTTTTTTTTTTAATATCCATTCTACCCATCAGAAAACTGCTGTGTGAAATGCTTGATCACATTATAACCAAAGTTCCTGGCTTCTGATATTTGCCAAGCATTTGATCCAGCAATCTGGTTTCAAGAAACAGAGGAGGGGCTTAGGAAATCTTTTACTTTAAATCTTTTTTAATCTTGTGGAAATGAAGTTAGTGATATATCCTACAGGCCTAGCAGACTGTCTTCTGCGTTCTTCTGTGTGCCTGAATCCTGGGAAGGTATAAGGGTGGCAGGCCAAAGACCTCCACGTATGAGAGAGGGACACGCACAAAACCCCTCACAAAACTTACTTATTAAAAAACTGTGTATTTACTCCTACATGTTTAAACTTCAGTCACCTTCAAAGTACTCTCTCTCCATTTGGTGCAATATACCTATCGACACCTTTCCCACCACTCAAAAGTTTTTGAACTCATCGATTTTGATGCCTTTTCATGTTTCTGCCACTTTTAAATTCACCTCTTCCACATCAACACATTTTCCTTTGAGGACTTTTGTCATCAGGGGAAACAAAAAAGGTCACTCACGGTGAGATCAGATGAATAGGGAGAATGGGGCACAGGGGTCATGCTGTTTTTGGTTAAAAAAAAAAACAACTAATGAACACACAGCATCATCCATCATAAAATGGGCAAATGGTTGAGTCTTCAAAAATAATTCACTGAAGCCAAACACCGCATCTCATAACAATGCCAGTTGGTATACTGATGCAGATGGGTTCCTAGAACACTCACTTAGCAGAAGGAAGCCTGTACTACAATAGGCCCACCCTCCAGAAGATAATTCTTGTTTGGAGGGTGGGCCCCTACCCTTGCAGAGGAGTAAGTTGTTCTGGCACATGTATGTACACAGTAACCTTCAAAAACCTGTTTGTTTTCCTCCTCTCCTTTCCATCCATTCTCCTTTCCCCTGTGCCCACGTCCTGGGTCTGATAGGCCAGAACCAATCACGCTAACCGCACTCTCTAACACTGCAAGGACAGGTAGGGTTCTCTGCTGCCCCCTGCTGCTGAAGCTCAAGAAAGACAGAGCCCTTCTCCCCACGACTCGCCCCTCCTTCGGCAGCCCTCTCCAGCCCCCTGCCAGCCCGGCCCCGCCGTTCCCCAGTCTGGCACCGGCCCGACACCTAGGCGAGCTCTGCCCGCCTGGCCCACTCTCGCAAGTCGCCCCACCACAACCCGTCTGCTACCCGCCTTTGCTGGAAAATGGGCCTCAGAATATAGGTGTTCTCGGACTCCCCAGAGTTCTTCTCGGTCTCAGGCAACCCGTCTGCTGCAGAGAAGGACGCGCCTGCAGCGAAGGGCGTAAGAGGTACCGAAGCCATGGCCAAGGTTTCTAGGTCCTGTGTATCTCGCGATGAAGGCCTGGTGCGTTGCTGCACGGAGCTGGGAAACCGTTGCCAGGGCAACAGGACCGCCCTTCCCCGGGACTTGATGCGTGCGCACCACTGCTGGGCAGGAACTGGCCCAGCGGGAGCGACAAACTTCGGCAAAAATTGATGTAGTTATGTCTGGTTTACGAAATACTTTAATACACATTAGCTGTTATTAACCACACTACTGGCTTAAGTAGTTGATGCGGAACGTGAGGCCCATAGAGGTCTAAGAACACACAGCTAGAGAAATCTTCAAAGTGTGACCTGAGGGCCAAATCCACCCCTCATCTTGTTTTGTACAACTAGTGAACAGGTTTTATTTTTTTGAGTGATTGAAGAAAGTCAAAAGAAAAAATCATGTTTCATGGCTGGTGAAAATGACAGGAAATTAAAATTTCGGTGTCCATAAATGAAGTTTTATTGTAACATAACTATGCTCACATATTGTCCATGGCTGCTTTTGCTCTATTTTGGCAGAATTGACTCCTTGCAACAGAGGCCTTTTGGCTCTCAAAGTCTAAAATATTATCTGGCCCTTACAGAAAAAAAATTTCAGTGCCCTGCTCTAATCCATAACTGCCAATCTGCAATTTCCCCAGTGCACCCACACCCCCAGCTCCAGTGCAAAAATCAGAAGGAGCATACTTAGGGTGCATTCCCTGCTCATAAGCACCAGTCTCTGGTCCTGTTTTACAAGGCTGTAGTATCCTGACCTCTACCAGCTTCAAAAACTAAGAAGAGAAGTTCCCCCAATATTCATCCAGACTTCCTTTGAAAACATGTGACCTATTGGTTGGATCAACAACTCAGAAAATGTGCTACTATAACATGCAAAGGGGGTAGTTTCTGTAAAAGCACACTTTTGCAAGTTCTACTAGAAGCCAACTAATTTTACTATTCCACGTTTTGTTTTATAGTTTTCTTGTTCATATTGACTACATTGGTCTCCCAGACTCCAATAAGCTCACTTCACCCTCACCTTCCCAGTCCACCTTTCACATTGCCCCCAGAATGGCTTTCCTTTGTCACTGGTCTGCCTGAAATCTTGTGATGGCTCCCTACGACTGTCCCACCCAAATTCACACTTTTTTGCTTGCAGATAAGACCCTTCGTGATCTGACTGGGTTGCTGAACCTTCCTCCTGGCACTGGCCAGCAGAGTGGAGTGGCAAGGGCCACAGGGCCAGGTGTGCACCTAGCACCAGCTCAGTGCTGCCTTAATCATGCCCTCTTTGCTGCCCCTTGGTTCAGCAGCACCAGCCCCAGCTCAGGCTGGGTCATCAATTTATAAACCAGCCTGGTCCCTACCTGGTACAGAAGTCCAATGTCTCCTAGGGGCAGATAGTGTGTTTTCACCTGGCTGTTTCACCAGCTTTAAGAAATCATACCCCTATGATGCAGACTTTCTCTCACCTTTAATGAGTTCTTCATCTATGTTTCTCTCGCCCTATCTACTACAGTTCAACTGAAAATGCAGAAGAACTGGTGCATAATTCAATTCAAGAAACATTTTATGTCATCTGTACTAGGCACTGGAGATACAAAAGTGAATAAAACCCAGGCTTTTCCCTAAAGAGTGAACAGATTTGGCTGGGAACAGTGGGCTAAACTAATTATTTTTAAATGGAGGGTCACTTGCTATAACAGAAAGCTGAAGGACAAGCCTATTCCAAAGATGTGCCTACTCTTCTCTGAGCAGGATTACAAACAAAGCAACGTTTTCTTCATTCCAGGATGATGTTTAAAAAGGCACTTACAAGGTAGGAAACAGACATCTCTTCTTCTTAATAAAATGTTTATTTAACACTGTCCTGATAAAGAGCAGCATCAGCCTCTCTGCCCAAAGCTTGGTTGGAAGTCAAGCCAAGAGCCAGATGTAGATTTCATTTGGGGAGAAAAAACCAAGGTGAAAACCCATTCTGAAAGTGAGATGGTCCTGGGATGTAGGTAGAAGGAAGGGGATGCAGATGCCTTCCAGAATCTCACAGAGGGCAGCCATGTGTAGAGGTCTATGGTAGACTGAGTACAGAACTCTCTCTCCTCTGCTGTCGTCTTCTTTCCCTATTGCCTCTCCAAGGTCCTTCTCCCTCCTCACCACAGCCCTGCCCAATCACAGTAAATTCAGTTGTGAAGAGAAAAGGTAAGTGAGCTGTTCTAGCTCATCTCTAGATTCAAGAACATTGGACCCCTGAGCTGGTGGGATTGGAGAAGGGGCTGTGGGATTTACTCCCAGACTTCTGTTTTTGACCTTGCGCACTTTGAGATCTATGAGTGTCAGCAGCCAACTGTAGGAAGATCTACCCTAAATATGCAGAATCTGAAGGAGAGAACAATTGGCCTATCTGAGGCAGAGGTTGCAGACATTGTCTTTGGAAGTCCCATTACAGTCTACAATAACATCAGTCTGAGGTTCCTGAAAGGATGGAAGAGGCTCAGGCAAGAGACAACTCTTCACTGTGAATTGTCTTAGTGCCAAAGACTGATGTTTCTACCTCAATGTTCTGCTGAGCCATCAGAGTAGAGCTGAGCCAGGATGGGAACTGTGGACCTGGCATGTGTGAGTGTGCATGAATATGTTTGTGTGCCTAACATGTCCCAACCTAGACATAAATTATCTTTAAATTCTCCATTAAGTAGGTGGTGGGCTCAGTACCTTTCCCCTACTGGAGAAGGTACTGAGGTGCGAATCAGGCACATTCTAACCATAACCCTGAAACTAAATCAACCAACAGGGAAATGTGAGACAGACGCAGGCAATTCTTCTTAGATACTGTAAGTGGATATATGATGGGGTGTCTGGACCTCAGGACACCCTGTCTACTCAATAGGCTGTTGAGAACCACCCTGCCTGGTTTCAGAAGCTATAACACCCCCCGCCCCATGGCTAAGGCTGAGTGAGAGACCTTGGGACTGTAAGCCACTAAGGAGACAAAGCTTATCTCCCTGGCAGGGGCATAGCCTCTGCTCCTTTTACTTCACCCTGCCTGACCCTGGGTAGATGACCAGTTAGCCAATGACGGGTAAGATTTCTTAAGGAAGGAATGACCTAAAACAGGCACAGTCACAAAGGGGCCCTCAGGGAAGGACTTGGGAGGCTATAGAAAAAGAGGGCGATGGACCCTCACTCCTCAGCTTTGACATAGCCTGAGTCCTCATTCTGTCTGTGAAAAGTCTCCTAATCTCTTGACTGCCTTACTTCCCCTGCCTGACTTAAGCCTGGAACAATACTGGAGGGGGGAGCAGACCTGGGCAGGAATGGGCGGTTCCCTGGGGTGATCAGGCCTAAGAAAGAATACATAAAATTCTGTGAAACCTGCTTTGATAAGAATACCCTCAATAAGGGTCCAAGCATGAAATGAGTTTGTTTCATTTCCCAAAGTTTTATAGGCCTTTAGCTAACTGACCCTGACTCAGAATAAGCCCTCAATAGTTCTTTGAATGTTATCTATTGTTTGATCATTACTGCCTGACAATGATTGACAAGCTTTACCTGTATCCCTATGCAAATTAAACCCAATAAAAGCCCATTGAGGAACAGGCTCCTGGTCCTTCTCCTTTGAGAGAACAGCCATCTTTCCTCCCCAGGCAGATCATGTCTTGGTAGACTTATTCTCATCTGTGATGAATGGGGTGAGGAGGGGCCTGTGAGCAGAGCCTCCCCACAATAGGCTATGCCTTTTTCTGTCCCTGATAGTTCTATGTGTCTACCTTCCCCACCCTGGGAAGGTCTATTGAGCTATCAGCTCCAGGTAGGAAAGGGTGAGATGGTGTTTAGAGTGATCTGACTTCTACAAGTTTTGCTAGCTTGGCTGTCTGAAGACAGCCATGCTCCTCAGTCCTGCTGAGTAGCCCTGAGAACAGAAGAATCGCTGTATTCTGGAAGCCTCTGGTGCTTAGCAGCTCCTCCCTGACCTGGGTTAGTGCTGGGATGGAGCTGGGGTCCAAGGGACTATGGAGTAGATATAGCAGCATCTGGGTCTCCACATTCCCTTCCAGGCTTAGTCTACTCTGTGGCCTCAGAGCCTGGGGTTCTCTGATTCATTTCTTGGACCTGCCTACTATCTCTTCTCTTGAGTGTACCCATCTTCCTGGGTCCTCCCAGGATACTTCTGCCTGCTTCATCATTTTCCCTGCCCATCAAACCTTCCCACCAGGATCTCCTTCATCCCACTCAACTCACCATCCAGCACCACCCCTGACCAAAGGTCCTAACATGGGAGAAATGGAGGTCCTCTGCTTTCCCTGTTCCACATTAGAAGCAGCTGTGACATCCTAGTCCTTCACATACCCCATTCCGTGTCTCTCCCCCAGCCCCCAGACTCTTGAATGTGCTGTTTCCTCTGCTGGGAAACCTTTCCTCCCTTTGTTTGAATCAGCTCAGAGACAGCTGAAGCCTTCCTTGATCTCTCACAGATCCCTTCCTCGGAGGTTCACTGTTCCTCTGAGCTCTCATTGTACCCTATGTTGACCTCTAACATGGCCCTTACCATATAACTTTAAATTATTGGTATGTGTTTGTTTCTCTACCCGGACCATGAGCTCTTCAAGGACAGGGAAAGATCCAAGGTCAAGGGCCATATCTTAATCATCTTTGGATCCTCAGCAAACAGAGCAATGAATACCAGGTACACAGTGGATACTCTGTGTATACCACTTAATGAACTGCACTGGACACTAATAAAAAGAACACTGGTGGATTAATCAGCTCAGGATGCTGTAACAAAATACCACAGGCTGGATGGCTTAAACAACAAAAATTTATTTTCTGAAGGCTGAGAGTTCAAGAGCTAGGTGCCAAAAAGGTTAGTGTCTACTGAGGCCTTTTTCCTTAGCTTACAGATGGCAACTGTCTGGCTATATCCTTATATGTCCTTTTCCTCTGTGCTTGTATAGAGAGATTTGGTATCAATTGCATCCTCTTCTTATACGAATGCCAGCCATACTGGATTAGGGTCCTTCCTTTATGACTTCGTTTAATCTTAAATAGCTCCTCACAGGGCTTTTCTCCAAATAAAATCACATTAGGGGTTAGGGCTTCAACCTGCAAATTTGGGGGGCACACAGTTTAGTTCATAACAACTGGTGAACTTGAATGTAGAAGATAGGGGCTCAGGTGCTGGCTTTACCTGAACCTAGTTGAGCTTTTGGGCAGCAAATCCACCATCCTCTAGGAGCTCTGACTTTGTTACGTGTGGCAAATTTTATGGGGTTCTTGAAAGGCTGAAGTGAGATCATAACTGGAGGACATTTTATGGACTGTGAGCTCTTACACAATAATAATGACAAGTATTCCTCCTACTAATATATCATCTTGCAGTTTACAATGTGATTTAAAATGCATTACAATATGCATACAAGGAATTATTATTATTACTACAGGAATAACTAAAAGGGAAGTTTGTTTATCATTCATACCCATAAATCCCAGTAGCAGAAAGGATTCAAGGCAGCTCCTGATGAAAACTCCCGTCCGTGAAAGAGCATCAGTTATGACTTCTCACAGAGGCTGCAGAAAATGTCCAGCAAAGTGTTGAAGAAATGAATGACCACCAGGAGAATCTGGAGGAGGCTGATGCACAAAAGGGCGGAGAAGAAGGACACGTGCCAGATGACAGCTTTAAAAGGCTCCAGGCAGACAGAATTCCAGAGTGAATAGTCATATAAATAATTCCTGTCCCAAAAATTAAAGAGACCATGGGTTGAGGAATAAGTAAGAAAAGCCAAATGAGTAATCTCAATAGACAGCTGGGGCCTCCACCACCCAAGTTAAAGTCACAGGCCTAGACTCTTAAGGGTGACTATTGTCGCATTTTTTAATTATATTTTATTGACTATCCTATTACAGTTGTCCCAGCTTTTCTCCCTTTGCCCTCAGGCAATCCCCACACCATTGTTCATGCCAATGGATCATGCTTATAAGTTATTTGGCTACTCCATTTCCTGTACTGTACTTTACATCCCCATGGCTATTCTGTAACTACCTATTTGTACTTCTTTATCCTCTCATGTCTTCACCCGATCCCTCACACCCCCCTCCCATCTGGCAGCCATCAAAATGCTCTCTGTATCCATGATTCTGTCTCTGTTCTTCTTGTTTATGTAGTTTGTCTTTTAGATTCAATTGTTGATAGATTTTTATTTTTTTGCCATTTTATTATTCATAGTTTTGATCTTCTTCTTTTTCATAAATAAGTCCCTTTAACATTTCATATACTAATGGTTTGGTGATGGTGAACTCCTTTCATTTTTTCTTGTCTGGGAAGCTCTTTATCCGCCCTTTGATTCTAAATGATAGTTTTGATGGGTAGAGCAACCTGGGCCGTAGGTCCCTGTATTTCATGACTTTGATTATTGCTTGTCAGTTCCTTCTACCTGACAAAGTTTCTTTTCAGAAATCAGCTGACAGTCTTACAGAAACTCCCCTGCTTTTCTCTTACAGCTTTTAACATTCCTCTTTGTCTTTAACCTTTGGCATTTTAATTGTGATTTGTCTTGGAGTGGGCCCCTTTGTATCCATCTGGTCTGGGACTCTCTATGCTTCCTGGGCTTGCATGTCTATTTCCTTTACAAAATTAGGGAAATTTTCTTTCATTTTTTTCAAATAGATTTCCAATTTCTTGCCCTTTGTGTTGCCCTTCTGCTCTGGCACCTCTTATGATGCAAATGTTGGAACACTTGAAGTTGTCCCAGAAACTGATTACACCATCCTTGGGGGATTTTTTGGATTCTTGTTCCTTCTTGTTGTTCTGATTGGTTGTTTTTTGGTTCCTTACATTCCAAATCACTGATTTGATACTTGGCTTCATCCACTCTACTGTTCTTTCCCTGTAAATTGTTCTTTATATCCTTCATTTCTGACTGGATCTTTTTATGCTGCTGGGGTCCTCACTAAGTTCCTTTAGCATTCTTATAACCAGTGTTTTGTACTCTGCATCTGGTAGATTGCTTATCTCCATTTTGTTTAGTTCTTTTTCTGGAGTTTTGGTCTGTTATTTCATTTGAGTCATGTTTCTTTGTCTCCTCATTTTGGCAGCCTCCCTGTGTTTGTTTCTATGTATTAGACAGAGCTGCTATGATCCCTGTCTTGGTAGCATGGCCTAATGTAGTAGGTGTGTCCTGTAGGGTCCAGTGGCACAGCCTCCCCGTGACCCAAGCTGGGTACTCAAAGTGTGCCCTCCATGTGAGCTGAGTATCCCCTTCTCTTGTACTTGATCCTTGGTTGCTGTTGGCAGGTTGATGGGAAGGATTTACTCAGGCCAGTCAGCTGCAAGGACTGGCCGTAACCACTGACCACCAACCTCTGCCCTCTGTGTAGGATTAGCTATGCAGAGGCACGAGGGTGGTGCTCTGACATGGTCTGTAGTTCTCCACTGGGTACCCAGGCTCTGGAGTTTCCTGGGTGGTGTAGGCCAAGGTCAACCCCAACCTGTGTTCTGCCAGGGGCCACCTGGTATGAATTATAAAGCAATCTGAAATGACTGCTACTTATGCTGAGTTTGTATATTCCCAGGCAAAGTCAAGCTGTGAATCTAAGGTGGCTGCTGGTAGTGCAAGCAAGGCCTGGAACCACTTAGCAACAGGTATTGAGGCTAGGAGCTCACTGGCTATTGTTTGTTTGATAGGATTTAGGAAGTTGCAAAGCATGAGCCAAGACCAGCCATTCATATGGAAAAGCCACTGTTAACAGCTTGGATGGGCTGGTAAATTGGGTGCAACAGGGCCTCAGGGGATATCTAGGGTGGGGTAAACAGTGTTAGCCAGGTTGATGGAGTCTCAGATATGGCTTCTACCTGATGATTTTGTGGCTCTATGGGGGAAGGGTTCAGAAAAGGAACAATGGCCTTTGTCTGCCTTTCTGACTGGGAGAAAGCTATACCCCCAGCTCCTGCCTTGATGCCAGACACTTCAGTTCCTCCCTATATGTCAATGGTGACTTTCATGCTGCTACCCCATTGCTGGAGCTAAGAGGAAGTGAGTCTGAGTAAGTCTCTGTGTGGGTTCTTTAAGGGGAACTGCTTGGGACTCCAGAAGTTTCTTCTACTGACTCAATCCCTCGAGTTTTTGCAGAGAGAAGTTATGGGGGCTTATCTTCTTGGCACTAGAACCCTGGACTGGGAGGTCTAGTGTGGGGCTAGGACTCCTCACTCCTGAGATATACCTCCAGAAATTTTATCCACCACACGTGGATGTGGGACCAGCCCAAGCCCATTCCATGTCTTTGCCCTACCTACCAGTCTGCTATATGTGGTTTCTTTAATTCCGTAGTTGTCAGACTTCCATTCAACTCAATTTCTGACAATTCTGAGTGATAGTTGTTCTATATTTTAGTTGTAATTTTGGCATGGTTGTCTGAGGAGGCAAGCTGTGTTTACCAGTGCTGCCATCTTGACCAGTAGTCTCCATATGATTCTATATCCCCTTTTATCAACTGCCATCTCAGATCTTCTGATTGAAGATGCCAAATGGAATGCCATTTCCATAGGCTGAAAGTCCCAGGATTGGCACGGAATACAAGAAGCAGGCATCAAGCCTCCCACGACCACCAGTGGCAAGCTCAGCATCTTCTTCCATTTCTTCTAACTCCTCTATATCCAATCCAAGCTGGTAAATGACCTCATCACAGGCATTTTGCAGGCCAAGGTTGATCACAGTGTTCTGTAATGTTTGTCATGTAAAATTCCAAAGAAGGGTAATAAACCCTCTTGGGGCACTTCTTCCAGTAGTACCGTTCCCTGTGGATCCAGCTCCCCACCAGGTGGTGCACACCGTGTGTGCCAGCATGAAAAAAGTAGTCGTGAATGGTAGCCCTGTTGCAGTCCTTGACCAGCATGAAGTGCAGGTGCTGGTTGAAACCCTTCTTCGGTTCCGCCACTTTTTCCATTTCCAGGATACCAGGGATACTGATCTGTCACCACTTCTCATGGTAAGTCAGGGGCTTGGCCATGGTTGATGTGGGAGGCAGGCAGAGCAGCTAGCAGGCCACGTGGCCAGAGGAGCCTGGTGGCAGAACATGGGTGGAGGAAGCTCTGTTGTTGCATTTTTGAGCATCAGAGGAGAGGGATGCTAGAATGCATCACCAAAAGGAGTTTGTATCCTGTCTGTCTGACTGTCTGTCCGTCTCTCTTTCCTCACTCCTTCCCTCCCTCTTTCTCTCCCTTCTCCCTGTCTTGAAAAGGCTGCAAATCCATTCAAGTCTCCACCCATTTACCTGTTATGTAAATCTTTGAATGGGTAACCATATTTCCAAGCTTGTGTCTGGTTGAAGGATGAGATATCAAACATGCAAAAAGGACCGTCTTTCAGGGCTACTCCAGAAGTGATAAAGCAAATCAAAGCTCCAAGCATAGCCAGGCCACTTGACAACAGAGCAGTGAGAATCTGCAAAGGAAGGGAAGAAACAGTAAGCCTGAGGTAGGGCCATGACTAGGTGACTTGTGGGACCACCTGGAAACCTCTCTGGTGCTCATGTTGTCTCCTGTAATATAAAATGGGACTACTCCTACCCATGGCATCTCCTTTAAAGCTTAACAAGTTAGGGTGGCTAATGAGGGGTCACTGGGTAGAGCTAGGAAAGGATGGAAGAGAAAGAACTGAAAAGGGGGGAACACTGGCACTTGAACCTGGATCTCCCTGACTCAGCAGGCTCTTCAGAGCTTCTTAACAGGTCGCCATCAAAAACTTTTAACTTCAGATTGCAGTCATTTAGCCTCTGAGTTAAAGGATCAGATTATCACATGCCCACTTCTGACTGTTTTAAGGGAAAGCTGTATTTTCAAAAGTTCCAAGCTTCTATCCCTGATTCCTGTCTTTTTCAACTCAAGCACTAAAGTAAGGAAAGGAGGGAGGTGGGAAGGAAGTTAGGAAAGAAAGGAAGGAATGAGACAGAGAAGAGAAACAGAGACAGAAAAATTAGTCAACTCTGAAATGACGCCAATTCTGTCCCTGTACTTTTCTAGACTGTGTGCCACTCTTCCCTCCCAAAAGATAAAAGTTTATTTTTCTTGGCAGGATTCTAACTTGCTTCCAAATTGGCCTCTTTCCCAGGATACTGGATTTTTTTTCTCCCTTCCAAAGAATACATATTTTTAACATTTAAATAAAACATATAAATAGTCTTTGTACAGAATTATAGTCATTTCCCCATGATGTCAAGCTAGTTTGGAGCTCAGGAGGGCCCAGAGAAAAGTATGTAGTACATTTTGACTCTAAGTTAAAAACAATTCATGATGACTTAGTCTGATGCAAGCCTAGGAGAGTATTTCTCAGAATGTGGTCCCTGTCCCTGCAGCGTCACATCACCTGGAAACCTATAAACAATACAGATTTTCCCACTCTATGCCAGACCTGCTGAATCAGAAACTCTGGGGGTGGAGCCCAGCCATCTGTGTTTTAACAAACCCTGCAGGGATTCTGATGTACACTCAAGTCTGAGAACCACCTGCCTAGGGGAAAACCAGATATGACTGAGAACAGATAGTAAATGAAATGTGAGGGTGTTTATATTTAATTCTTTAACATATAGTTCTGAATCAGTGGGGTTCCCAACATATGGGCTGCAGACATCAAAGCAGACTGTGGAGTTACTGTAAGAAGGCCACATATTCACAGGACTGAGACTGAATAAGCAATATAATGTATAAGAATACTGAAGAGTTTTCAAATAAATATAGATGATGCTGTAATTAATAAAGTGCAAATTTATTCTGGGCCTCAGTTCTATTATCTATAAAATAGAGAGGTTAGATTAGAATCCAGTCATTATAAAGGTGGAAGAAGCATAAAATGGAGCAAAAATAGCCTCTTCAACAAATGGTGTTGGGAGAGCTGCACAGCTACATGCAAAAAAATGAAACTGGATCACCAACTTACACCATACACAAAAATAAACTCAAGGTGGATAAAATACTTAAATATAAGTTGTAACACTATAAAAGTTCTAGAAAACATTGGCAAGAAAATCTCAGACATTCCACAGAACATCTTCACAGATATGTCCCCTAAAGCAAGGGACATAAAGGAAAGAATAAACAAATGGGACTGCATCAAATTAAAAAGCTTCTGCATGGCTAAAGAAAACAGCATTAAAATGAAAAGAGAGCCAAACTTATGGGAAAACATATTTGCCAATGACACCTCAGACAAGGGCTTGATCTCCAAAATATATAAAGAACTCACAGGACTCCACTCCAGGAAGACAAAAAACCCAATTGAAAAATGGGCAAAAACCCTGGCTAGTGTAGCTCAGTGGATTGAGTGTGGGCCTGTGAACCAAAGGGTCGCTGGTTCGATTTCCAGTCAGGGTACATGCCTGGGTTGCAGGTCAGGTCCCCACTATGGGGGGAGGGGGCGGTGCAAGAGGCAACCATACATTGATGTTTCTCTTCCTCTCTTTCTTCTTCCCTCCTCCTCTCTCTAAAAATAAATTTTTAAAATCTTAAAAAAAAAAAAGAAAAAGGAAAATGGGCAAAAGACTTGAACAGACATTTCTCCAAGGAGGACATACAGAGGGCCCAGAGACACATGAAAAGATGCTCAGCATCACTAGCCATCAGAGAGATGCAAATAAAACCACAATGAGATACCATCTCACACAGGTCAGAATGGCCATCATAAACAAATCAGCAAACAAGTGTTGGATAGGATGTGGAGAAAAGGGAACCCTAGTGCATTGTTATTAGGAATGCAGACTGGTGCAGCCACTGTGGAAAACCGTATGGAATTTCCTCAAAAAACTAAACATGGAACTACCTTTTGACCCAGCAATCCCACTGTTGGGATTATACCCTAAGAGCTCTGAAACACCAATCCAAAAGAATCTATGCACCCCAATGTTCGTAGCAGCCCAATTTACAATAGCCAAGTGCTGGAAACAACCTACGTGCCCATCAGGAAATGAATGGATCAAAAAATGATGGTACATTTACAGAATGGAATTCTACACAGCAGAGAGAAAGAAGGAGCTCCTACCCTTTGGGACAGCATGGATGGAACTGGAGAGCATTATGCTAAGTGAAATAAACCAGGTGGTGAGGGACAAATACCATATGATCTCACCTTTAACTGAAACATAATCAACAAAAGGAAAAACCAAACAAAATATAACCAGAGTCATTAAAATTAAGAATGATCTAACAATAGCTAGAGGGGAGGGGGGAGGGAACAGAGGGGAGAAGAGTTTTCAGGAACTACTATAAAGGACACATGGACAAAACCAAGAGGGAGGGTGGAAGCAAGGGAGGGAGGTGGATTTGGCTGGGGTTGGGGAGAAAATACAGATGACTGTAATTGAACAACAATGATGTTAATTTTAAAAAATAAATTAAAAGAATGGCTTCAGAAAAAAAGAATTTAAGAAGCCTCCAATTCTGCAACTGAATTCTGCTATTGTGACCTATGCAGTAGGCAAAAATCTGGGGGGGGGGGGGCGGGGGGGGGGAAGAATTCAGTCATTAGATGATCTTTGGAGAAACTTCCAGCTCACTAAAATTAAGCAAAATAGGACATTTTCTATCAAAAACACATGATTTACAATGTACTTAAATCATGCCCATATTGTTCAATAGGCTAACAAATAATAAAAACAGTTCTCACATTTGCACAGACATTTATGGCTCATTAAATAACAGGATCATTGAGTTGATCCTGTTAACTTCTATGTTACAGATGAGGACCTGAGGCTCATAAAAGTTAAGGGTAATGATCCCGACCTAACTTAAAACCCCAAGATCAAAATTGCCTTTTGATCACTCTGACTCTGAAGTAATAGAATGTGGGGGCATTCCAGGTATTAGAAGAGTGGAAACAGGTGCTTACACTTCGGCAGGGCCTGCTCTTGCTGAAGCAGCCACATCTCCAGCCCATCAAGGAGATGAGGGTAGCTGCAATGAGTACCTGGGAGAGGGGAGAAAGTTGTTATGAAGAGACTGGGTAATTTACATTTCTAGCTGCCACCTGTGGCTGTTGAACTAGAGTAGTTGGGCATCTCACATGGATTTGATTATCTTGTCTTTCCCAGAAGGGTTGGCTTTGAATGTCAGAACTCCGTTTTGGATGATTAGTTTGGTATAACTCTATTGATGGCAATGTTCACACTCAGTATGCCTAGTCCAAAATTCAGGCACCTTTGACAGGTTTTCCTAGAGTCTTCCATCCCTTGGAGTTGATGTAGACTCAAGACCAGTCTGTTAGATCAAACTTGCAAGGAATCAAAACACTCCTCCCCCATCACCTCCCTGCTCCACCCCTGGGGGGGGCACTTTGGGAGTTCACACAAAGGGAACCCAGGACACTTACCATGAAGCCTCCTCCCCAGAGCCCAGAGCCTAGCATGGCATGCTTGCCAATGAGGCCCCTCAACAGGTAGGTCACATCCCAGTTAGGAAAGAGGAGCACCACGTTGGCCCCAGCAGCAAACAGGGCTGTAGTCCCAAGACTCAGCCCCAGGATGCGGGAGCAGGTCCTTGAGCATGCCATCATGAAGGGAAGGGACAGTGTCCTGAAACAATGGAAGGAAGATCATGGTAGCTCTGCTACTGGGAGCATGGGCCGGGGGAAACAGACTACAAATATTGTCACCTCCCAGGGTCAGATCAAGAAGAGCCAAAGAATTTGCTTAAAAACTCTGCCTCTTATAAATATTCCCCAATGGATAGAATTTAATTGCTCCATTTTCTGCCAACTTCTCATATTTTGCTTGTGCCTCTATTATAGCCAATGATTATTTCTACTTGGTACAGAAAAACAAATTTTTAAGGGTGTCATCCTTTCTTTAAAAGATGTCATTTTAAAGATGCCATTGTCACCACTTTCATTCAACATTGTACAGGAAGTCCTTTCCATTGTAATAAGAAAGTGAAAAGAATAAAAACTACACAGATAAGAAAGGAAGAAGAACTGTCAGTATTCACAGGTACCATGATTATATTAGTAGAAAATTCTTGCCCTGGCTGGCGTGGCTCAGTGGATTGAACACAAGCCTGCAAACCAATGGGTCGATGATTTGATTACCAGTTAGGGCACGTGCCTGGGTTGTGGGCCAGGTTCCCGAATGGGGCATTTGAGAGGCAACCACGCATTGATGTTTCTCTTCTTCTCTCTCTCCCTTCCTTCCCTTCTCAATCAATCAATCAATCAATCAATCAATCAATAGCTCTGGCTGCTGTGGCTCAGTGGATTGAGCACCGGCCTGCGAATCCAGGGGTTGCTGGTTCGATTCCGTCAGGGTTCATGCCTTGGTTGCAGACCAGGTCTCCACTAGGGGGCGCAAGAGGCAATCACACATTGATGTTTCTCTCCCTCTCTTTCTCCCTCCCTTCCCCTCTGTCAAAAAATAAAATAAATAAAGTCTAAAAAAAAAAAGAAAGACTAAGGAATCTATCAAAAGTTACCAGCACTGATAGATGAGTTTAGCAAGGTCACAGAATAAAACATTAACATACAAAAATGTTATTGTATTTCTATATATAAGCAACAATAAATTGTGAAAATATAAAAAAATACCATTTACAATAGCATAAAATTAGAAAATATTTATGGATAAATTTAACAAAATATGTGCAAGACCTGTACACTAAAAATTACAAAACATTGCTAAGAAAAATTAAAGGAGACATAAATAAATAGATACATAAATAGATACATACCATGTTCATGGGTCAAAAGACTAATTATCATTAGCATGTCAATTCTTTCTAAACTGATACATAAATTCAGTGTACTCTCAGTCAAAATCTTAGCAGGTTTTCTTTTTATTTTAAAGTTGACAAGCTGAATCTAAATTTATATAAAAGTCCAAAGAACCTAGCTTAGCCAAAACAATTTCTAAAAAGAGAAACAAAGTTGAAGGACGTACACTATGTAATTTTAAGACATTACAAAGCTACAGTAATCATGACAGTGAAGTAATGTATATAAAGATATAAGACCAGTGGAACAGACTAGAGAGTTCAGAAATATATCTACACACATATGATCAAATTTTTATTATTTTAAAAAAGATTTTGGCCCTGGCTGGCGTAGCTCAGTGGATTGAGCGCGGGCTGCGAACCAAAGTGTCGCAGGTTCGATTCCCAGCCAGGGTACATGCCTGGGTTGCAGGCCATAACCCCCAGCAACTGCACATTGATGTTTCTCCCTCTCTCTCTTTCTTCCTCCCTTCCCTCTCTAAAAATAAATAAAATAAAATCTTAAAGAAAAAGAACTTAAAAAAAGATTTTATTTATTTATTTTTAGACAGAGGGGAATGGCGGGAGAAAGAGAGGGAGGAAAACATCAATGTGTGGTTGTCTATTTTATGCATCCTACCAGGGATCTGGCCCACAACCCAGGCATGTGCCCTGAATGGGAATCAAACCAGCAACCCTTTGGTTTGCAGGCCAGCACTCAATCCACTGAGCCACACCAGTCAGGGCTGATTAACTTATTTTTTAAAAGATGGTGTTTCAGTGGGAAAAGTATAGTCTCTTCAACAAATGGTGCTGAAACAATGCCTATGCTTGACTATTACTGCCAACCATATTCAATAATTAAATTGAATTGAACCATAGATCTACACTTAATAAAAATTTCTAGAAGAAAACAAAAGAGCCCCAGGTGGTGTGGCTCAGTGGATTGAGTGCCAGCTGGCCTGCGAACCAAGGGGTCGCCAGTTCGGTTCCCAGTTGTGGCATATGCCTGGGTTGCAGACCAGGCTGCCCAGTGTGGAGCATGCAAGAGGCAACCAAACATTGATGTTTCTCTCCCTTTCTTTAAAGAAAAAAGAGAAAAGAAAAAAAGAGAAAAGTTTGGTGTTTTCAGTTTAGATAAATATTTATTAGATGAAACACAAAAAGTACAACCCCTAAAAATGACAAATTCAACTCTTGAAAAAAATGTTTATCTTCAAAAGATATAATAAAGGAAATGAAGAAGTAAATCACACTCTGGGAGAAAATATTCACAATGTATATTTTGTGAATATGAATACATACAAATCTGATAAAGGTTGTATATCTAGAATACATAATTAACTCTTAAACTATAATAAGAAAAGCAGTGATTTAAAAATGGAGAAAAGATTTGAACAGATATTTTACTTCATCTCACAAAAATATACATATGAATGACAACTAAAAACATGAAAAGACACCAAACATCATTAACATAGGGAAATACAAACTAAAACTAAAATAAGACCCTACTATATACCCACTAGAATTGTTATAGGTAAAAAGTTGAATTATACGAAGTGACGGTAAGGGTGTAGAGCAAGTGGAACTTTCGGAGACTTCTGGTGAGATGCAAATGGTCCAACCACTTGGAAAATGAACTTGACAGTTTCTCATAAAGTTAAACATTCACTTACCAAACAATCAAGTAATTCCACTTCTACATATTTATCCAAGAGAAATGAGAACACCTGTCCATGGAGAGACTGGTACATGAATGTCCATAGCAGATTTATTCATAATAACTAAAAATTAGAAATAGGAAAACATCTTAAGTGCCCACCAACAGATGAATGGATAAACAAATGTTTTACATATGTATAATCTCACATATATATTATTCCGCCATAAAAAGGAATGAGGTTTTGTTATGTGCTACAACATGGATGAAACTTGAAAAAACTATACTAAATGAAACAAGCCAGTCACTAAAGGACAAATATTTATGATTCTACATATGTATATAAAATATCCAGTACAGACAAACCCATAGAAATAGAAAGTAGATTAGAGATTATTAGGGAATGTGGGGAGGGGCAAATGATTACAGAGTTTCTGTTTAGGGTTATAAAAAACATTTTGGAAATAGATAGTGGTGATGGTTACAAAGCATTGTGAATGTAATAATGCCACTGAATTGTATACTTTAAAATGGTTAAGATAACAAATTTTGTTACATATATTTTACCAGAATTTAAAAAAAATCAATTAAAATGAGAAATACGAGAGAGAGAGAGAGAGAGAAATAACTCATATGTTCATTAATGTGAATGAATAAATAAATTGTGGTATGTTCATGCAATTACTACTACAAGGACATAAAGAACAAAAAAATTGATACATGCAACAACATGAATAAATCTCCAGAGTATTATGCTAAGTGAAAGAAGCCAGGAACAGACTATTTACTGCATGGTTTTGCTCATGTGAAATTCTAGAAAAAGTAAAACTAGTGACAGAAAGCAGATCCATGGTTGCCAGGGGTAGGAGATGGAAGAGGGGATTAATATCGGGGACATAAGGAAAATTTTTGAGGTGATTGTAATGTTTTAAATCTACATATACAAATATATGTATTGGCAAAACTCATCAAACAACTCTGAAAATTGGTGAACTTTAGTATACTTTAACTATATATCAATGAAATTGATTAAAAATTAAAATGTCATGTCTATACACATTTACTTATAGCCATTATAATCTTTTATATTTTCACTGGTATGTGAACTTCTTGGTTTTTAAAAAAATATGAAATAGCATAGCACTAGTAATAATAGTAGGGTACACTCACATCAGTGTGAGTCTGAGGAAAGTCAGTACCATGACATCCTGCTGCCATGACATCCAGTTCAGTTACATGTCTGTCTGTTTCACCTGAAGGCTCTTGACACTCCCCTCTAACACATGGCTTTGGACGTAATTTTTTTTTTTAAAATGTATGGATCAGTTTCTATTTCTCTTACACATATACTTACATCAGTAATGAATATTTCAGTGTTTAAAGAATTAAACATAATGTGTATAATATATTTGTACTTGTAAATTGTATGGGATAATTAAACAACATCCATGTAAGTACAACCAGTTTACAAGTAGGCCATTACCACTAATATGAAGCCTCAAGTGTGCCCTACCATCTTCCTGGATTCCTTCCTAGAAATGACTATCCTAAATTTGTATTTTATCATACCTTTTTAAAAAAGTTTTACAACTTATGAACTCTTTTTTTTAAAGATAGCCTAGAATTTGCTATTTTTAAAAAATCAGCACGGGGTGTTTTACCTTTTTCACACTTCTCATGCTGTGAGCTCACTGGCTGGGGCTCCAGCAGCGCAGGCACCTTTCCACTGGTTCTCGTACCGCGTGCATCTCTGCGGGGAGCCGGCTGGTGCTTCCACAGGACCCAGGCAACTTTCTCTTTGGCTTTTTTCTTTTTCTTAACTTTTTTCCTTCACACATTTTAGGAAGCTACCTCGGTTCTGAGAGTGCCCAGTATGCTCAATACGTACATTAATTCTCTTGGCAAGAATCTTGCCCTTAACTTGTTTGTTCACAACAGTGCCCACCGCGTGCTGGGCGACACTGCAGACCCTTCCTGCTTTGCCCTGGTGACATCTGTGGGGCATTGCTTCTCGAACAGTGCCTATTGCCTTGATGTCTACAACATCACCTTTCTTGTGGATCCGCATGTATGTGGCCAAAGGAGCAACTGCTGGTTTTTTAAAAGGCCAAGAGAACATATGAGGTCTTCCCAGAAGGTACCCAGCCACATACTATGAAAAATATAGACACTTATTGAAGAGGATACAAGAAACATTGTACACAGGACAATGATGCCCCAGTTACCTTCAAAGTGGGCACCTTGGAACCTCACACAGTTCTCCCAATTGCCATCAGCTGCCCTGTCGTATTTTCCTGAATCTCATTAATGGTCTGAAATCTCTTCCCTTTCAAAAGTGATTTTTAGTTTTGGGAAAAGCCAGAAAGTTGCAGTGTGCCAGATGTGGGCTGTAGAGGGGGTGAGTCATCTGGGTGATTTGATGTGTTGCCAAAAAACTCTGCACGAGATGTGATGCATGAGCAGATGCATTATCATCGTGAAGCTGCTAAGCACTAGTTGCCCATAGCTGCAGCCTTCTGAATCATCCAAATAGTTTCCGTAGAGGAATGTTCAAGCTTAATGCAAAATTGGATGCAGATTTGTTGCTCTACTTGCTCAGTCATTGTGAATGCAACAGCCACACAGCACACATGCTCTCAATGGCGTCTACTGCCCCCACTGACTAGTACAATGAAGTTGTCATTGCTCATGCACACGTATTCCAGTCCACTCTCCTTGGCTGTCAGGTCACATCAGTGTCATGCAAACTGTTCTCATTATATTAACAATGGCTGGACTCCCCCCCCCCAAACAGACCTCATATAGCAGGTGCCTCTTCTCTTTTCCTTTATATTAGTGATTTTGGTGAATTACTGAAAGTTGGTTCTGGCTGGAAAACAGCCTAGCATTTCTATTTGTCTAGACTGATGTTTATGGTAGAGAGGCTGATGTCACACATAGCACTGAGTAGGGGAGCTCCTACTCTTCTCCCCCATTCCCCAGCATCCCCCACCTCCCAGTCCTATGTGACTTTTGCTTCCTCTAATCTCCAGAGCCCGGACCCACCTCCTGAGCTTCTCCCAACAGGGGACTTCCTGCCTCAATGGTATTTGCACTTTAGTGTGATGAGTTGCCTTCACCATGTGTCCTCTCCACAGGGTATTCACTCTCTATGCCTTGTTTCTTACAGTGAATTAAATAATTTGCCCCTGATGAAAGAAAGTTCAGATTTCAGGGGAGAGGGACACATGCTGAGGCTGTTCAGGGTAAGATAGGAAGGAACAGTGGCCCTTATCCCGGGGATACAAGGGGCCTGAGGGAAGGGTGAAAATCAGCAATTGGGAGGGAGACTGTGTCCTGTCTCCTGCCCTCTCCCCCAGCTGTCCAACACAGGAGGCCTCTTTTTCTGACTTCAGCCCCCTAGTACCAGCTGCTTCCTCCTCAGGTCTCCAGCGGGAGGGGCCTGCCTTGCTGTCAGGAAGCAGGGCACCTGCAGGAAAATAGTCCTCCCACAGTTGGGGATGCCAGTGTGCCTCGGGACAGCCTCCCTCTCCAGACTGTCTAGTGACTGAGTGCAGGGCTCTCAGTGTGTCTCTGTGTTGGAGTAAATTAACCAATTGGTAGGTGTTAACAAGCAATGACTTGAACTCACACCCCATTCAGATGACTGACGTTTCATCAGGGATCCAAGTGGGGATTGGTGCGTGGCTGGACTTTCAAGAACACTCCCTAGACCACAGGCTAGGAGAAGATTTTGTTCAATAATGCCTCCAGCCGCCTTCAAATCATTCCACCTTTGAGGCCCGTCTAGACACAGATCACCCAAATAACCACCCCCTGACAATCTCTTCTATGGAAAAGTTTCGTATCAGGAATGTTTTGGAAGGGAAACTAAAAACTATGGATGTGCAGAGGGAAAATTAAGAAGCCGAGGCTGGCCTTTGGATGAGAGGAATTCAGAGACTCCCGGCTGATCTAACACCGAAAGCACTTGCTGTGCCACTCCATCTGGGAAGACTGGGGCTTAGTTTGAATTTTACTTCCTCTCCTTGACTTTGTTTCCCTAGAAATCACAATAGTCTGAGAAATGCTTCCAAAAATGTGAGCCAGGAAATCAGCAGAGATCAGCTAATTTGCTGTCTGAGAAGACATGCAGGACCATGAGGTAAAACCTTAAAACCAGGCTTTAGTAGAGGCTGTGTTCCAACCTTAGACCCTGGCTGGGTGAACAAATCATCGGCTAGCAGTCTGGGCAACGGTGTAAGTGATTAACCTGGTCATGTGAAGGAAGGGGCTGAAAATTCTCTGTGTGTCTCTCTATCTCCTTCATCATCTAACCAGGCTTCTCTTTCACGTCTTCATGAACAGTCAAATGTTTAAGTGACCACTTTCTGCCAGACACTTCTCTTGAGGAACATAAAGCCTGGCAAGGACACTGACAAGACAATAGGCAAGTGCCATGCAGAGGTGTCCAACATACGGTGTAGTGGAGACACAGAGAGGAACAAGTCCTGTGCTGGGGATGTGGGGTAGAACCTCCTGGAGGAAGTGCAGTCCAAGCTACTGCTTGACTGACAACGAGGTATTAGACAGGCAAAGTGGGGAAGGGAAAAGTACTGGAGGTATGTGTAAAGGACTGAGGTTGACAGAGAGACCGCGGCAAAGAGAAGTTAAATAAATTGCCTGAAGTCACACAACTGCTCAGTGGCACAGCCTGGGCTCATCTGAGTGGCAGACTGAGCTTTGAGTTGCTGGGCCATACTGTTCCCTGGCCATTTACCTTCCTGAGCCCTCTCATCTCTGCTTACCTGCATCCAGTGGCAAGAATCAGGATGGAAGAGAAAGAAGCTGGAGAAGGGCTCCGTCTTCAGAGTGGGCCTGCACTCCTGCAAGCTCCCCCTGGGACTCCTGCAGGACCTGACCCAGAGGGTCCTCCTCATTTAGGACGCTTGAGGAGAGCCAGCGAGCCTCTCTATATATGTAGAGGTTACCCAGGCGTGTGTGGGTGTGAGTGTGGGTATGTGTGTGCCCCACACTGATCCCCACAGGCTGCCGCTGAAGGATCTTTCCTCTTCCTGGAGATCTGTCTTGATGACCCACCCTTGGCTCATTTTCATGTGACCCTAAGAAAGGAACCAGGAGGCATGGCCTCGTGAGCTAAAATGTCTTAATGAGTCAGAGGATGCACCCGTGAGAAGTACCTTATCCTCCCTTCTTTCCCAAGCAGCAACACTGTTTCACACATCAGCTGCCCATATCTGTTTCATTTATTGCCCAACTTAGGCTCTTTGGAAGAACAGCCATGAGCAGAACTGCCACCATTTTTTCCCTTATCACCCTCCTTGCTTTGCTCCTAGCTAACTGGATGTTTGCATGATTCCTTTACATTTATGTGGGGCCTTCTAACATTTTCTAACATTTTCGTTCAAGCCCCAGACCACCACCATTTGTAGCAGTCACACCAGACTGATGAGCATTTTGTGGTGCTCTCTGCATGGGAGATCTGTGACCCTCCCTGCTCTTTTAGCATTTAAAAAATAACTTCATTATGAAGGTAACCTTTAAGAAATAAGAAAACCTTCACCATAACATTTTTATACAACTATTTTCACATTTGCATGTTTCTTTTTAGACTTTGTTCATATGCATAATCTATTTTACATAATTATAATCATAATATATATCAGTTTTTTCACTAATTTTGAAATCATAAACTTTCCTGATTCTACAGCTTTTGTAGTAATCCTTGTAATGTCTATATAATATTACTCAGGCAAATAATTTATCTTTTCTTTTATTTTTATTTTTTTCTTTTAAAGAGAGAGAAACATCAATGTGTGGTTGCCCCTCACATGCCCCCATCTGGGGACCTGGCCTGCAACCCAGGCATGTGCCCTGCCTGGGAACTGAACAAGCAACCCTTTGGTTCACAGGCCTGTGCTCAATCCACTGAGCTACACCAGCCAGGGCTATTTGTCTTTTTAAAAAATCCTCACCTGAGGATATGTTTATTGATTTTAGAGCGAGAGGAAGGGAGAGATATCACGTGAGAGAGAAATCAATCAGTTGCCTCCCGTACATGACCCAACTCCCCGGACCAGGGATTGAACCTGAAACCTAGGTATGTGCCCTGACCAGGAATCAAACCTGCAACCTTTTGGTGTATGGGATGACACTCTAACCAGCTGAGCCATCCAATCAGGCCTATTTATCCTTTTTATTAGACATTGAGATTGCTGCTGGGTTTTGTTTTTCTTCTACATTAGAGGCAATGCATATAGCTTTTATCCTATGTTTATTTCTCTAGGACAAATTCCCAAGAATGGGATTATAGATCAAGGGATAGTCATTTTTATGATTCTCTTTTTAAAGTATATAATACAGTGATTAGGCATTTATGTAATTTATGATGTAATTCCCCTGAAAAGTCTAGTATCCACCATACATAGTTATTACAGTAGTATTAACTATATTCCCTATGCTGTAGTTTACATTCTTATGACTATTTTGTAACTGCCAATTTGTACTTAATCCCTTCACCTTTCTCACCCAGTCTCCCAACCCCTCTTCCAAAACAGTCTGTTTCTGTTTTGTTTGTTTGGTTAGATTCCACATGTGAGTAAAATCATGTGGTATTTGTCTTTCTCTGATTTGCAAACCCACTTCAACCTGTTCCTGTTCAAGGTCCAGTTCAAGCATCCCAGAGAAACCTTCCCTGATTTCTTCACTCAGCGCCGGGCACTCCTTTCTCTGTGCTCCCATCGCACTTTTTTAAAAAATTCAGGGATTACATGCATACGTACAGTAAAATGAACAAATCTTAATTATAAAACTTGATATTTTTACATGTGCACCCAGGGCAACCACCATACAAATCAAGATATAAGACAACCCCCAAATCCCCAGAAGGTTCTATCATGTTCGTCTCTCAGCATTATCTCCATCCCCAGTGTTGACTTTCATTTGGCTTTTAACATCAATTAGCATTTGGCTGTTCTTGATTTTCATATAAATATAATCACATAGTGGGTACTTTTTTTGTGTCTGGCTTTCTTCACTCAATATCATATCTGAGAGATTCATTCATCACATAATTCATTCTTTTTTATTGCTGATATTGCCTATTGTATGGCTATAGTACAATTTATTTTACTGTTGATGGACATTTTAGGCTACTTTCAATTTTTGCCTATTATAAATAATGCTGCTATGAATATTCTTATACATGTCTTTTTGGAGACGTGTATTTTATACATGTCCTCTTTTGGAGGACCCATCTATGCACTAATTTTTCTAGGGAATATATCCAGGCGTGGAATTGCCGAGTCACTGGGTAGGTGAATATATTTAATTTTGACAAATGATATTGCCAAACATTTACCCAAAGTAGTCCTACTCATTTACATTCCCACCAGCAGTGTATGAGAGTTCCAGTTGCTTCACATTCTCACCAACATTTTTTATTGTAGGCATTCCAGTGGATGTTTAGTAGTATTTCATTGTGGTTTTAATTTGTATTTTCAAGATGAGTAAGCACCTCTTTATACACTTATCAGTCATTTGGAGATTCTTTCTTGAGAATTGCTTGATCATGTTATTTGCCTAGTTTTTATTGGTTGTCTTTTTCTTTCTGGTTTATAGGAGTTTTTTAGAATTCCAAATATGAGAACTTTGTTAGATATATGTGTTATGAATATTTTCTCCTATCTGTGGTTTGCCTTTTCGCTCTTAATGTCTTTTGATGAAAGGAAGTTCTTGATTTTAAGTTCCAGTTATCTATCTTTTCCCTTATAGTCAATGCTTTCTGTGACCTGTTTAAAAAATCTTTGCCCACTTCCCACTGCATTTTGATTTACCTGTGCTATTTATGTGCTTCTTCCCTACACATGTGAGATCCTGAGGGCAGAGACTATATCTTATTCTGCTCTGTGTACTCAGAATCTAGCATGGAGCTTAGAATATGGTAGCAGTTCAGGAATCACTTGATTAATAAATTAATTCATGCACTACATTAAGTAACACATAGTCTCTGTACACAGAGATTTTACTTCTAATAATGAAAATAAATGATACTGAGAAAATCCTTGATGATGCATATATATGTGTATATATAGGAAGGAATAACTATAACTATTACATTCTTTGAAACTGCATATGAGCTGCTCTCCATGTGAAATTTTTATGTATGCAGATGTATGCTTGTCTGAAGCAAAAGCTGATAAACAACCATTGTAATTTCATTAAATAGGATCCAGTGTTCATTTTCACTGTAAAAGGGAATCATTTAGAGCTTAAATGAATTCTTGTTTCTTCCCAGAGAATTTAATTTAGATAGAAGATACTAGGCTGAGCACTTTACAAAGCTTTAGGATATGAAGAAACACTTATACACCATATAAAATGCATTTACAAGCTATTTCATTAGATCCTTACAACCAACCTAAAGCAAGTAAAATAAATGTTAGGCTGGCTTCATTATGCCCATAAAGAGATTATAGCCCAGAGGAATTTGACTTGCTCTCAGTGAGTGTTGGAGAGATGACCCTGTCGTGTGACTCTACACAGTCCTGCATGTTCATGGTTGAGATATTTTTTCCCTGACCCTCATTCTAACTATCTTAAGGTGTTTCTTCTTGGAGGCCATACTGTGGTGATTTGGCACCTGAGTCCTGGATCTCAATTCCTGCTGCGAACACCTATTAGCTTTGTGAACTTGGGTAGTTCATTGAACGTTAGTAATACTCTGAGCCTCATTTTCTCATTTATAAAATGATGCCTACCTCACAGATTTATTTTGAGAGTTAAATAAGGTACAAGATGTCTAGAGTGGGGTAGTCCTCTCCTTCTGTTCTTGAATCTCAGATTAGCAATGAAGGATTTTTTTATGCAGTGTCCTCTATAGCATCTTGTTGTTAGGTAATTAGAATGATCTGATGGTTGTTGACTGCCAGATATCATTCAGATTTTTAGAAGGTATCTCTGTTCATAATCCAGTGGCTTATCTAACAGCAGACACTTTTGAATGGATATTAAAATGGTGTTTGTGGAGCAAAGTGTTGGAATTTGGCTTTAATCCCTTGAAGTGCCAAACTTGGGCTGGTGATGACAGCTGTAGGTCTTTGTTCCTTATGGTAAATTTGCGACAATTAATTCAATGATTAAACTCCTGAATAAGACACTTCTTTTAGAAACTATATAATTGCAATAAGTGTTTTTTGTTTTTTTTTTAAGTAAGGCCAACTCAAGGTTCAGTTCTTCACTTCTCTCTAGTAGGCCCAGAATGGTAAAAGAGGCCTGGTATCCACCATGAAAGAATTAAAGCATTACCTTTTCACAGATGTGTTAGTAATCTTACAATTTGGCTCCACTGTAGACACAGCTACTAGTTATCATTTTGTTGGTGACATTTCTAGGGAGAAGCTAGTGGGAGTCTAAGGCACAAATTAAGAAATGGGTCTGTGTGGGAAAATAATTTGCCTAATGCTGTAAAAGCCTTCCCAAAGCTGAAAGGGTTGGGAGAACAGGACAAATAGATGTTCCATTCTGGGGGATACTGTGAGGTCTGGATGTGGGATTTGAGCAAGGAATAGAGGAAGTTGAGAAAATGGACTTCACTGGCAGGAGGAAAAGGGAAAAGATGATGACAATCAGGCCAATCTTCCCCAAATAGGAGTGACGAACTAATCAGCTTCCCTGTGGGTGGGATCTGACCTCAACTGACACAGCTGACTAAACAAGAAAGCACATCCCCTTAACTGGAGAAGAAAAAAAGGAAGATAGGAGATGTTGAAAGATCTGCCATTTATACCAGTTCATTAAAGAGGAAGTTTTTTTCCCTTTTCATTAGTATAAAAATATTACAAACTTCAACCCACTCAAATTAGGCTTCTGTCTCCAACACCACTCTGAAAATGTTCTTGGTCTCCAGTGGTTTCT